AGCACTGTATTTTGAGCTCTACTTTCTTTTGCTTCCACCTCTTCTCCCAGTAAAATGGATTCACTTTGCAGCTTCTCAGGATTTTCTTTAGCAGGATCAGCTGTGTTTACCTTGGAAATCTCAGTTCCAACTCCACTGACTTCAACTGTCACTTTTGTATCTACAGGGGTATCAGTATTAGTCTCTTCAGCAGACACCTGTTCCAATTCTTCACTAACAGATTCTAACAGACAGGTATTCTGGGTCAGCTTGTTCCCTTCGGCACTAGCAATACTAATGTCTGATGAGGCTTGCTTATTTACAGATAACGGCAAAGAACTTTCAGATTCCTCCTTCTCATTTTCCACTTCTACTGTAATCTCAGGTTTAGTTTCTGCATTTACTTTCTTCTCCAATTGATATTTAAAAAATTCTTCATAGCTAGCTTTTTCCTCTGCCTTTACTTTAGCCAAATATACTGCCATAGAGACATGCAACATCTCAATTAACATCTCTTTTTGAGGCCCCTGGCTTCTACAATTTTTCTCTGTTTCCATAAGTGTGGAATTTTCTTTAACACTGAGAGGAGTAGGTGAGTTCTGCTGCCCTGTAAATGTATCAACTGCACTGGTTGTCATGACACCAAGAAGCTTGTTTTCTGGGCCTGCTGGTTCAACTTGAGGAAACTCATGTCTGAAATCAGGGTTTCTTTCTTTCCTTTCTTCTTCAAGTTTAAGTCTCCTTCTTTCCATTTGTAATCTTTCTGCTCTCACTTCTTGTAATTGTAATTCTACATCTCTAAGTCTTGTTTCTATTTCCATTTTCTTAATGTTATATGCTTTTGCTTCTTCTATTTCTCTATCTCTATTCTCTCTATGTTTTTCTCTCAGAAACTCTAAATATTTTCTCTCCCTCTCACGTTTGGCAGCATCTACTGCGTTCTGAATCAAACTGTCTCTCATCTGTTCTGTCCCTCTTCCTTCATGAGGTAAATTTAAATCTTTACACTTTTGTATCAGAGCCTCTTTCTTTAATACTAGAAACTCTGCCATTTTTCACTTAATATATGCTCTCTTTAATGTATTTCTTTCTCTCTTCTACTATATTTTACAGAACTCTGTTTCTGTCTTAAAGCTCACAACACTAAATCACCTAAGGTGTCTGTCTCCTCAGACTGCCATTGCTGAGATTTCCTTCCTCTCAGACTCTTTATTTTCACTAAATATATGCTCTCTTTACTATGTTCTCTTCCTAAGGAGGTTTATATTTCTTTTACTATGCCCTCTTCCTTAGGATGTTCGTATCCCACCGCCATGCACCACCTGTGACGCCCTCTTATTTGGGGAGGTCTAGTTTTACTTTAAAAGTTCTTTATGTATTGCTCTCAGGGTACTCTCGCCGCCACCAGGAAAATTTAAGGCTTTCCACACCTTTATACTAATATATTTCTTCTTCTGGGTTGGTATTGTAGCCCGGGGTCTAGGCGTCTCGAGGAACTATGTGGTCCTGAGAAAGGATTTCTTTCAGAACTTGTATCTTGAAATAAAGTATATTTATTCAAATAACTTGTAAATAATATAGTAGTACGAGGTAACTGGTACTGTGAATATTCTTAACTCTTGCTTTATGTCTCACATAAAGTCTGCTCTTTGGCTGACAGGGATCTGAGCATGTCACTCTGTAACTAATATTTCCTTATGCCATATATGGTTACTGTTTCTTTATGCTTTAACTTTCCATAACACACAAAAGTCTTCTCTCTCATCAGACTTTAAAATGAACAGAGTGTTTAACTCCTTAACTACATAGAACCAAATCTTTCCCACACAGGGATTGAGTCTACTTCACTCAGAGACAGCACTTAACTCTCTCTCATACCATACTTTTACAGACTGCCTAACTGTCTTCATCAACTGTCATACCTAACAGTCACACCTGAAAGACATTCAAATCATCCACACAGCATCCATTCCAAAAAACCCTCCCCCTCTCTGTCACTCACCAATCACACAACTTGCCTGTTTCAGCATTCTAGATTGTCCCACACAGCCATGCCAACCAACTTTTAAACACATACATACACACAGTAAAACATGGAATCGTTACACTGCCTTTCTCTGAATTTTTTGGCAGGAGCACAGTCCAAGTGCATAAGGTAGTCTGGAAGGGAAGGAAGTGCATTATGCAAGGTCCCACTTTCCATGCTTCTGTCCTCCGTGGCTGCCGTTCTGCACCCCCAGCAACACCAAAGGGCCATTTTGAGATTTTTTTAAAAAGAAACAGAAATCACTAAGTATAGCAGTACAATTATTTCTTGCCACCACACTTCTGCATCATGTAAGCAGTAAATCCACACTCCAGTCTCACATATCATGCTCACTTGCAGTTTCCTCTTGCTCTTACTCCTCTCTTCCTGTTCAGTCTCCCAGCTTTTGTTGCCCAAATGCCCAGGAGGAATGAAAGGAAGGAGGGGGGAACGACATAGGCTTGGCTATGTTTGACGTGAACCCAGTTGCCGCCATTCATCCAACACTGTAGCTATTGAGCATACTGTATGAATCCCTGAGCCAATAAGCGAGCTCAGTGAAGACAGGAGGATGATTATGTCGGGTTCACCAGGCATTCAGAAAGATGATTTGCGGCAGCCAAGATAGGGGAAGGAGGACCCAGCAGTCAACAGCCCACCCTCCGTAGGGCTTCAGCAAGAAATAGGTGCAAAGATGATGAAGGGAACTATGAACAAAAAGGCCAAGCCAGAGCTGCAAGGAGTCATTTGTTGCCCCTGACTTTCCAGTCCTGGATGTCAAAGGCTGCAGTCAGGATCAGGTGGACCTCTCCCTTTGCTTCAAGAGGTCTCTCTTCAGGGTATCCCTTTCTAAGGCATGCCACCACCCCTTAGCACGCAGCTGCACTGCCAGGCCAAATCACATTTAAATGGAATTACCCTTCCCCAAGGAGGAAAGTGTCCTTACTTTGCCTTTTCCAGTGGCATTTCTGCAATCCCTTCAGATTCTAGACCTCTGTAGCTGAACAAAGCGTTCTTAGCTGAACTGTGCTCTTGTGTGCGTGTGTGTGTGTGTGTGTGTGTGTGTGTGTGTGTGAGAGAGAGAGAGAGAGAGAGAGAGAGAGAGAGAGAGAGCGCGCGCGCACTCTCTCTAATCCCCCAGTGGTTTCAGTATAATGAGATTAAAACCAAAGTGTGAGGATTCTTTCCTGACCCACTTGTTGGATGATTGGGAGGTATTATTAGATGCAAGAGGTCCTGAAGCAAACCACAGCATTGTCCACTCTGGTCTCGCCCTTCCTTGCTTCCTTCCTTCCTTCCTTCATTTCACAGCCCCAGACTGCTGAGAGGGGGAGGGATTTGGGTCGGTCTTCTGCTTCATAACATGGAAAAGCCCCTGCAGTCCATTCACATCTTATCTCTGCGGCTCCCACTCCCAGCTTTCTCTCTTAGCCTGTGCATACCATATCAGTTAGCACAGGCACCATCAGTAGGAAGGCATTAAGATCCTCTGCCTCTAGGCAAAACTCACGTCTTCTCTCTGTATTAATAGTTCTTGGATTCAGCTGTTATGCTGTGAGATACTTAAAACCCGATGTCACCCAGACCTGGCGGGTAAGTGCTCCATTGCTATTGGTATGTGATGGCAGGGGGGAAGAGTCCTTTAGAGCGAGTTCTCTGCAGAGACCATGTCTACCTTGTTGAGAACACATTCGTGGCTTGAGATACGCATCATGGCAAAAATACAACGCCCACCAAGAGATGATTGCAAAGGGGGTAACCATGACAGTCTATCGCAGCAAAATAAAACCAAAGTCCAGTGACACCTGAAAAGAGTAGCAACATTTATTTCCATATGGGTTTTCATGAGTCACAGCTCACTTCTTTAGATATGTGGTCATCTGCTCTTCATACGTCTGCAGAAGTGAGCTCTGACATACGAAAGCTCATATTGAAATGTCTGTCTTCTAAGGTGCTACTGGACTTTTATTTTGCCAAGAGATGCCCTTTGGTGTCTCGGGAGAATAAAGAAACTTAGACCTTTTCTAAGCTGCTGAGTCCCTTGGGACCCGAGAGCAAAATGAATGTCAAGCCAGAAGGGGCCTTGATTGAAACACCACCGGCGCTTCCTAGAGCCTGAGTTTCCTCAGGCTTCTCACCTGCTGGGAAGAGACCCTTTAGGAGGAGACCTTCAGGTACAAGATTATGCATGGGATAGAACTGAGCCTTAGAATCAGTGTTCTGGCTATGAGACTGTAGCATGTTACTTCACACTAACCAAGAGCAGCTTGCTCCTCTTCCCCATCACTCAGTTTAGACCCCCCCCCCCAACCCTCTCCAGTAAGCATCGCTGGTAAACATTTGGGGGGGGTGTCACATGGCTGACCTGTTGCTAAGTGCAAAAAAAAACCACACACACAAATTTTGGGTGGTTCTTTGACATGGATTTGTCATCTGTATGACAGGTGGATTGTCTGTACAATCCTATGTAGTTACGCCAGTCTAAGCCCACGGAAATCAAGTAGCTCTGGACTAAGTAATGCAGCATAGGATTGTACTGTGTGTTACTTAAAGCATCCTCCTTCCACGTCTTGCTTCCTTCCAGTACTGCCTCAATCAGAATCCCAGCCTGGATATGTATGGACCAAAGCCGATCCCCTACAACACCATGTAAGTATCGCCATGTGCAGCTGTCATTATGAATCTCTTGGTAACGTTCTGCCACTGAGGTAATACTTTTTTGGTTTTTTGCAGGAATACTTTCAGGAGTTTTGGATCAGCACACAGGTAATTGGCGCTGATGGTTCAAAGGCTAGCACCACCCCACTCTGCAAGAGAGGGGAAATGAAATGACCACCCCAGTCATCTGAGACTGGCTGGTGCTTTGTGCTCATAGTGAGTCACGTAATCACATTCTCTATGAGCACATAATCAACTTGGTGGATTTTGTCCCAGGGTGAGACATCAACTGATTTTAAGGCAGGCAAAGATCTGGTGATCCTTCCCTGAAAGTCCTCATTAAGAAGGTGATGTTCCCTAGAAATTTACCGGGAACCCCGTTTAAGCAGGAAGCAGCTCACACAGAATGAAAACAACCCTATATGGTAAACCAATTCAAGCCCCTCAAAATAACAGCACTCCAAAGACTCAGAAACAGACCCCCAAATCAAACAACCATACTTTTAAGTCCAGTGGGAAAACGCCACAATAATCCATCTTGCCAATAATAAAAACTCAGCAGATGGAGGGTTTGTTTCCAGAGCCTTGGTGGGGTATGTATAATTTTTTTTTAATTCATATGGTCACTGTACCTCGGAAGTGACTTGACAGCACTTAAACCTTGGACATGACTTGACAACACTTAAACACACAAACCTTGCTCGAGAGGGCACCCTATGCACCTCCTCTGGCAAACCATTTCAAAGGGTGGGGGCCACCATGGAGAAAGCGGTCAAATGCATCTTCCAAAAGGAGAGAACCTCCAGCAGGAGACACTGAGCCAACCTAAGCTGGTGAATGGGCCCAGGTAGGGAGAGGCAATTGTTGAAATATGTCAGCCCTAGACCACAAAGGGTTAAAACCAGCCCCTGGAAATAAACAGGCAGCCAGTGCACCAGTTGGGGAAATGGCATTGCATCAGTTCAATGCTCTGCCCCAACCAAGAGACAGGCTGTTGTATTTTGCACACTCTAACTTCAAGGGCATCCCTAGATTGCGGGAGTCCCAGTCTGCAGGTTATCGAAGCATGGGTGAATATGGCTGTATCAGGCAGGGGAGAGCTTTTACAATGGATGAAAAAGGTCAGAAAGCACTCCAGCCTCTTTCTCAACAAGCAAGGTGGTTGCTGGAGTCTCTCCAGGCTCTTCTCTTGACTGAACAGGATCAACTTGACCCTGTCCGGTCTCCTCAAGAACACTTGTCTTCCCAAACACTGCCACTTGTCTTGTCTGGACTGAACTTAGCAGCTTTCTAGGAAGGACAAGCGCTTTCACTTAAAAAATATTCTTCCTCTATTAGTCTTACAAATATTAAGCCCAGGCAGAGAATAAAGATACGTTCCCTGACCTGGCAGGAAAATAGGGGAATGCTGCCCATGGACTTTCTAACTCTACCCTGTGCCTCTCTCACCAACCCTGTCCCTTGTCTTTGATCATCCTCAAACACGTGGCCCTGCATGAGAGGAGGTCACAGCTCCCCCAGACAGAAGAAGAGAACAAGGACCGTCTTCATTCTTCCCAGAGATTTTAAGCAGATGGCACAAGAGGCATTTTCTGCCAGCATGAATATCCTACACAGGGAAGAGCACTTTTATGTCACTGTTAAAGGATGTCAGAAGGGCAGCAGCTGTAGAATGTGGAACATATGCTGGGTTTTCATATGGTTAGAGGAGGCCTTCTTGGTGCACTGGGGCAAGGGCCGAATTGGTAGAGCCTCAGCTACCAACCATCCCAGAGAGCAGATGTTCCAGACTTTCCAAAGGTGCACTTCATTGCACCCCAGATCATGAAATCTTAAGTTTGAGGAGGTTTGAAAGTGGGGAGGGATGGGAAAGGGACTGTCGTTTGGTTTATCCCACAGTATTTTCTCTTCCTTTCTAGCCGTTCCCACTACCTCCAGCCCTGGCGCTAGGAAGCAGCTTTTCCCGAGCCAAGCAAATCTGCTGCTGCTGCATCTGAACATCCACAAAAAATAAAAAGTGCATTAGCTGCCTCAGCAAAGGAAGGTGCAGCAAAGGCCACTAAAATAAGCATTAAAAGAAAGTGGGGGAGGGGGGGAAGATGACAGGGTTCTCCTGGCCATCTTTGCATCTCTGTGTGGTGGCAGGCTGCCTTAGCACTTAAAATGGCAACTAAGAAGTCAAAGCCAGCACTGGCTCACTTGACGCGTTGGTCCATCCATGGCAAAGCTCAGCATCTTGGAGTAAACATTAGATTTTGCCCTACAGACGACAGCCTCTCACCTTTGCCACCAATGCCCCCTCTAAGCTGTGGAGTCTTGTGAGCAAAAATTCTACTTTGTGAGCTACTGGCATTAAAACTGTGAGCAAGTGATTTGACTACCGCATAAATTAGTTTGCTCTGGAGCCATCCTTCCTGAGCTAAGACAAAAATGCGTGAGCTGGAGGCTAAAAAACTGTGAGCTAGCTCACACTAACTCAGCTTATAGGGAACATTGTTGGCCACATATAGCTTGCAGCAGCCATTTTGAGCTGCGCTAGTCCTTCCCTGCAAGAGTTTCTCCCTTCCCCTCAAGCTTGTTTCTTTGTCATGCTTGCATGTGACAAGCAGGCCAGGTCTCAATCAGGGTGCATCTCTCCCTACCCCTTAAGAGCATGCGAAGCTGGGGATCCTCACACACGCTGTTGCAGAACTGCACTTCCATGGTTGTTGGTTTTTGCAAGATAAAGATCGAGCCAGCTCGGCTTTTTAAAGCCCTGTCCCCTTACCTTGCCTGCCTTCCTTTGCAAACATGTTTTTGTGGACAGAAACTGGCTGGATAAAAGTTACCATTCACTGTATCAACTCACAACTTTCCATTCACTATATCAACTAGCCACATGCTTTTCAGAGAGCAATCACTAGAGGTCTTTCATTTTTAAGTACCCTACCAATTCACTGATACTACATATTCTTATTCTCATTCTGATCTCAAACTGGACCAGTCAGCAGTATGAGTCACTATCCTTTCTGTGATATTCTGAGATAAAGAGCTCCTCTAGGAAGAAATACCAGGGCAAATCTCACTCACACAGAGGTCTGGAGCTGGGACACGCCGGGTTGTAACCAAATGTTCCCTGCTGCTGACAGCCTCCTTCCTCAAGCAGAAAGGCATTTCTTGATCCAATCCACTGTTTAGCCTCTCTGACCAGCAGGTGGAGAAAGGACTCTTTCCAGCAATAGCCTTTGGATAGTTTGGCAGTCACGACAGGCATCTGAAAGCCTTTGCGGGCATCTGCCAGTCTTACATCCCCCCCCCCAATGCTTAATTCTGTGCTGGTATATTTTTTCTTATTAAATATTTATGTTTGATATTTTTTCTGGGCTTTCTATGCTCCTCCCCTACACACACTTCCTAAGCATTACATTCTGCTGTTCCTGTGTTTCACACTGAACTTCAGGAAGGTTAATGGGCCAAGGGCACCCAGTATCACGGAACAGATCTCATTCCTCTGCTCTGCTTAACTGCCTCTCATAAAACCTAGTTGTAGTTCCTGTCTTGCTTTGTCGGAAAAAATGGGAAGTTGCAGGCAGCTGCTGAAGTCAAAGAAGTAGAGAGACATGGATTCTTGGGTGGAAGTTCAGTAACTTGTCGCTTCCAGAATCTGTGTGAAGAGAAGTGAGAAAGAAACACACACACCCTGACCAACACAGAAATGATGAGTATGTCGGATCTGTTAAAATGGAGTACTGGTGTAAGGTCTTATTTATGGAGTAGAGATGGCTGCCTGGAAAACCCTGAGTTTTTGGCTGTTCCAAGGAAAACTCGGCCACTCGTTCCCTCTCTATGGCAAAGCCCAACTATCTGTGTCTAGGATGCATACGTATCATCATAGTATTTCTTAGGTCTAAGTTTTTCTCTTAAGCCTTATGACATCAGTACAGTCTCATGAGCTGTGAAAGAAAACGTGTTTCTGAAATGTCATAGACAGTTATCATGGGGATGTGCAGGCCAGGATGCACCCTAGTAAAGCACACCGGTTTCCAGCACCACCCTGACTTGGGTTGTGCCCTCTTTCATAAAGGCCATTCCAGAAAGGAAGGATTTGGGCATATCTTTCTGATATGGAATTTAGCTTGCTCTTAAGGGCAAGTGAAGGCCCGCTGCTGCTTCTCTAGCACGTCACAAACTGTGTCTCGCCTCTCCAGCTGCACCAATGAGATATCCAGCAGTGCCTAGACTCTGAGCAAGAGTCCAGTAGCACCTTAAGACTAACAAAATATGTGGCAGGGGTCACTGCTCACTTCTTCAGATACAGAGTAGTGACTCACAAAAGCTCCTGTCCTGCCACATATTTTGTTAGTCTTTAAGGTGCTACTGGACTCTTGCTCTTGTTTGGGTTTTGTGCTCAACCCTGACAGCTTCCCCAGCAAAACCTAAAGCCACCACAGCTCTCTGGCAGCTGTGAAGCCCAATGCAATCATCCCTCTAACAACTTCTGCAGTTCTTGTACTAAGGCCCCTGCATATAACCTTCACCCAAAGAGGAACCTTGAGGAATGGTTACTGCTCCATAGCCGCAATCAGCCTTTCTCCATTTTTCTGGCTGGAAGGGGAAGGGGGGGGGAATGGTAGTTTTCAGCCAGTTGGTGCTGTCTCTTTGCTCTCATAGACCCCACAGAGACTCTGCCTCCTGCTGCCTACATTCAGATCCAAGTACCCTAAGCAAAACAAAGAGATGGGTCAGGGAGGAATATCTCAATGAGCAGAGGGGGGCAATTAGAATGTGAAGAAAAATGTTTGTGTCGAAGTAATTTTAGCAACAACTCCTTAAGAAGGGGGAACGCTGCTATGTAAATTTCAAACACAAGAGGGTGCCCAGAGTGGTTCAGAATCCACATTCAGAAAGCAGTTGGATGGAGAAGACAGGCACAAGGCTGCCTTAGCTTCAGAATAGCCTTCTGGCTTGGTTCCTTTCCACTCAGCAGTTCCAGTTACATGCACAAAGCCTCTGGGAATGCAAGTTCTGGATGCCTCATACTTCCCTGGAAAAGCTTAAAAAAAACCCCACAGCTTCCTCTTCCCTGCTTACAGTTCATTATTACCTTTGCTGCAGTAGTTAAGAGTATTGACTGAACTCGATGTAGGAACACCAGACCCTGAGCTTTCCCTAAAATCCAGCACACGACATTTTAAGGATCCACGATGACATCCAGTTAAGCTACACAGATTTTTAATGAGTAGTAAACTGCTTTCTTTTTAAAAAAGCAATATGAAAAATAATGAAGACAAACTCCTCCGAAGTTCTATACATCTGAGGTGCCACAAAAGACACAAGATCCAGGCAGCAGGTCTTCTATGAAGGGAGACTGTCCAGCTTGCTCTTATACCCGGCGGGCACCTTGGCCAGCCTCCTCCTGAAGATGCGCTTCTGTCCTGTCCTGAGCCGCTGGCTAAATAAATGGGCCTCAGCTGGAAAGCTTTCCTTCCTGGAGGCACTCTGTATCCCATGACACACAGGTTCAACTCAGGTTTATGGGGCAGCCCCCCAAAGCCTAACTCTTAGGGTGTCCATTACTAGCAGCTCCCAATTTAACAGTATGGAGCAGTGGTACTCACTCTGTGGCTTGCAGAGAGCCACAGTCGTAGTTGCCATTAGCCAAAAGAGCGATGTTTACTTCCCGCCCCAGCACTGGGTCCAAGCCTTGCACCTCAGGGAGAGTCGTAGTTTACCAGTTTAGCAGCAACCGTTTCAAGGTGGGAACCACCTGACAACCACGAGCCCCTCTGGGCAAGAGCCTTGCCCACTTTCCTGAAATACGGGGCAGGTGCCACTTTGGGTAACAGTGCTCAGAACCACCACAGGGGGCTCCCGTGCCAATGAGTGAGAACCACTGATTTGGAGGTTGTGCAAGAGAAGACAAGTAATCAACACACACGCATCCCATACGCAGGCGCTCAGCTACCTCAGCTCCCGTTCATTTCATGGGGGATCACATCATCTGTGGAAACCGCTCCAAAAAGGAGGCTGTGGCTGCTCTAGTTTCTGCCCCATATGGATCCTGTGTGCAAACAGATCTACTTCCCAGAACCATCTGGAGGGATGTTGCTCTAGTTACACCGTACTTTTAGCTCCACAGCCTGCTTTTCACCCTGCCTCCCCTCAAGGTGGGAGGGCAAAGCCCAATGTGCAGCCCTGGCATCACACGACGAGCCTGGGGTTTAGAGGGAATTCCAAGATGCCTGCCTGACTGGGGGGACGGACAATGAGACATGACCTGGGGCGCACCTCCCTCAGCTGTCTCTGAAAGGGTCCTGGGCCTTTTCTGGAGCCTGATGTCTTAAGAGGAGCCAGGCATCTCTCGCCTGCGTTACTGCACCATCCCAAACATCGGCAAGCAGCAAAGAGACCCACGTGCAAAGCGCTTCTAAGTCCCACCCTTCTCTTGGCTGACGCTCACAGTAAGAAAGGAGCTGGATTGGAGTGGTAGGCTTTAGGAGCACGTCTTTCAATCTGACCTGGAAACAAGACACTCTGCTGGGAATGGCAAAGCCAGCCCAACTTGTGGCTGGTTCCCAAAGCCACCACATTTCCCATTCAGAAGGCAGGGATGCAACCTATTAATGGGAAAGACCGGCAGACAGAAAACAGCCTGCTTCTGCTACATGCTCCACACCAACAACCCCAACCCCACCCATCACTGTGTCTTAGAGGGCCGTGTTTCCCGAAGATATGAAGTCTCTGGTGAGGTCTGCCCTTCAGCCCAGGAGTAAAACAGGGATGGAGGGATGGAAATCTGGTCTAACCCATCCTCCACCGAAGGCAGCTGGTCAAGGCAGGCAGGGTGCAACCGGGTAGGTGTTCTCGGCAGACGTGTGCTGTGCACTGTGCTCCTGCAACAGGCCCAGATCCAGGAAGCGCTCGCCGCACCACATGCACTTATAGTGCTGCTCCCGGGTGTGGACCCCGTGGTGCTTGTTCAGGTGCTCCCGCTGCTTGAAGGCCTTCTCGCAAGCTGGGCACTTATAGGGCTTCTCCCCAGTGTGAACTCGCCGGTGGCGCTGCAAGTCAGAGGCGTACTTGAAGCGTTTCTGGCAGTCCGGGCACTTCAGGGGCCGCTCGCGGGTAGGGTCGCAACGATGCTGCACAAATTCCGATGAAGAGAAAAAGCGCCGCTCGCACAGGGTGCAGCGGAGGGGTTTCTCCGCACAATGGGAGGACAACTGGTGTTTCTGGAGGGCCGAAGCACGCTTGTAGGCCTTGCTGCAAACGGCACACTTGAATGGCCGCTCTGCGCTCTGGACGCAGCGGTGGCGCAGCAGCTCCGAGGACTGGCTGAAGCCCTTCTGGCAGGCGTTGCACTTGAAGAGGTTCTCAATGCCGTGGACATGCTGATGGTAGAGCAGGTGAGCAGGCTGCACAAAGCCCTTCTCGCACAAGGAGCACTTGAATGGGGGCGCCTGTGCCTCTTGCTCCGTGGAAGTCGAGGCACCCACCGTCTTGTGCGTGCGGCGGTGGCGCATTAACGCGTACTGCTGCTTGAAACTCATTTGGCAGAGGTCACACTGGAAGGGACGCTCCGTGCTGTGCGTGCGCTCGTGCTGCCGGAGGTCTGAGGGCCGCCGGAATGCCTTGTGGCAGGCGCCACAGCGGAAGGGCCGCTCGCCACTGGGGGTGCAGGCGTGCTGCAGCAGCTCTGAGGACTCCTTGAAGTGCAGCTCGCAGACGTTGCAGCGGAAGAGGTGCGCCTCGCCCGAGTGGGCATACATGTGGCGGACAAGGTGGGAACGGTGCTTGAAGGCCTTCTCGCACACCGTGCATTTGTAGGGCCGCTCAGCACTGTGTGTGCGCTTGTGGTGGACCAGGTGTGATGACTGGCTGAAGCTCTTGTCACAGAGGCTGCATTTGTAGGGCTTCTCCCCGGTATGCACCCGCTCATGGCGGGACAGCTCCGAGAGGTGCTTGAAGGGCTTCTGGCAGATGGAGCAGCTGTAGGGCTTCTCGACGGGGGCCCGGTTGAGCGCCGCGGGTTGCTGGGGAGGGGCAGGGTCCTCAGGTGCCGCCGCCACGGCCGCTGCCGCCTTGTAGGTCTTTTCGCAGATGGAGCACTTGACGGCGGCATTGCCGTTGTGGACGTTGTGGTGCTGAGCCAGCGACGTGAGAAGGGAGAAGCCCATCTTGCAGACCCCGCAGACAAATGGCTTCTGTTCCACTTGCAGGCACTGGTGCTCCAAGAGGTCCGTGGCCTGGTGGAAGATCTTCAGGCACTGGGTGCACTGGAAGGACCGGTCATGGCCCCCTTGCAAGCACTGGTGCTCCTGGGGGTTAGAGAGGTGAGCCAAGTCATGACCACACACCCCACATTTGGCAGAGGGCTCACCGCCACTGGCGGGGATGGGCGGGTGGTGCTGAAGGTTGCTGGGTTCTGGCTGGAGCAGGATGCCATAGACGGCACAGCCCAAGGGATTCTCGCCTACGGCACTCGACGGGATGGGATGCTCCGGGAGAACAGCCGTCCCGGCGTGGTGTGGTGGTTGTTGCGGAGGGGGTGGCTGCTGCTGCCAGCTTTCCGACATGCTGGAGAAGAGAAAACGGGGTTTCCGCAATAAGGGCTTCAGCTTCTCAGCGGAGAGGGAAATTATTAAGGAGATCTGAATTCCCGGCACTTGACTCCAAAGATGGAGGGAGGAAGCTCACAGCGCTGGCCTCCTGAGCGGGCCAGCACAGCAACTCCAAAATGTGTCTGATATCAACAGCAGACAATCGCAAGCAGGCAGAGCATCCTGTAGTTGACTTTGTGCGTCCTTCCAGAAGGTGCTTCAAGGACGGATCCTGCAAGAAGAGGGCATCTTAGGTTAGGGCCCACGGACTGACGGGCGATTTTTATCAAGTTTAGAAGTCCAAATGCAGATTGAGACCTGATAGTTCCTGATCAACCCCTTTCTCCTCCAAGGCCATGGACAGAGCCAGGTTAAATAACCTGAAAACAAGATTTTCATTTGGAGCCCACAGATACTTGCTCAGAGACTGGAATCTGTCTCTCCGACAAATCGCCCCCTTTAAGTCCTCCAGGCTATTTCAAGTTCCCCACACGCCCATAAAATATACTACCATTGTGAAAATATCAGGAGATCTACAATACACCCAATCGTATCTCTGTTATGTAGGCCAGAAATATACAGCTTTGCCGGGGGGGGGGGCGCAGAAGGACTCAGCACTAGCAACAGAGCCAGGCAGAACTAAATAAGACGAAGTCTTAAAGCCAATTCTGAACCCAGAAAGCCATTAAATGAACAATGCTTTCTTTCTTGAAGGAACCTCACACACGGAGCAAAGAAAGCTCAGTGAGATGCTACGTGGATCTTGGGGAGAAGGACTGGATGGTTTTATCAACTTAATGCAAAAATAAAAGAGAAGAAGAGAAGAGATTGGATTTATACCCCACCCTTCACTACCCAAAGGTGTCTCAGAGCGGCTTACAAACTCCTCTCCCTTCCCCTCCCCACAACAGACACCCTGTGAGGTAGGTGGGGCTGAGAGAGCTCTTGACAGAAACTGCTCTTTTTCAAGGACAGCTCTTATCAGATATATGGCTTGCCCAAGGTCATCCAGCAGCTGCAAGTGGAGGAGTGGGGAATCAAACCCGGTTCTCCCAGATTAGAGTCTGCGCACTAAACCACTACACCAAAGATGCCTGGAAGCGAGAATCCGCCACCAGCAACCTTTCATCTTCAGGGATGGGACTATTTAAATGTGCTGCTGATCACTTTGATGGGAATGCAGCGGAATGTGGTGAAGTAAAACCCAGACCCTTTCCAAGCCTTGCGCTCCACAGACCTCTAAAAGCACCCACTCACAGGCAGCTGTTACTGCCTGGTGGTGCTTGCCAATGAGCCCGACCCCTGTTCGGCCAAGCTAACGAAGGCAAGAGAATGAGCTTGGAAGCTGGTGAATGCCTTCTGGAGAGAGGAGGTAATCACAGAGGCTGCTCCTCAGGATCCCTCCCCCAGCCCTGAGGATTTCTCCTTAGTCCCCCAATTTGGGGTAAGGTTTTTTTAAGAAGGTGGTATCCATCTAACTCCATTCATACCAACCTAATACCCACTTCAATTTGCATTCTGGCCTCATTTTCTGCCTGGGCCATCCTGGTGGGTGACTGGTGATGAGACAGTGAAGCCCATGTCATAAGAACATAAAAGAGGCCATGTTGGCTCAGGCCAATGGCCCATCCAGTTCAACACTCTTGTCACTCAATGGCCAAAACCCAGGTGCCATCAGAGAGTCCACCAGAGGGACCAGAACGCCAGAAGCCCTCCCACTGTCAAATGACCGTCCCATATTAACTCCTCCCCAGTGTTCTCCTCCCCAGCTTCTGGACTATAATCTTCCCCAATAAAGGAACAAAATTTCCCTCTAAACCTATTAGATTCTGTCCATCCTATTGGAAGGCCCCCAGGTTCCTTGAGACTTCACTGACTATGCACAGGTCGTGGTGCCACAGGAAAAGTTCTTTTGTTTGGTTAGCTACCAAATCAGTGTATGAACTGGCATCCTGATAATCTGTCTGAAGTCTGGATAGAGAAACATGAGCTGCAACCTTTTGCTTCCCTGTAAAAGTTGTTTACCACTGAGCATCAGTTAAGTAAAATTTAAATATTTACCATTCAAAGTTGCACCAAGCGTTTCCCATTCAACCACCAAGAATACAGAACTTCCACTGCCCTGGACATAGTGTTCCATCTATACCTTGTGGCTAATGGCCACTGATGGACCTCTGCTCCATACGTTTATCCAATCCCCTCTTGAAGCGGTCTATGCTTGTAGCCGCCACCACTTCTTGCGGCAGTGTCCTTCTCACTGGCAATGTCCTTCTCAATGGCTTTCCATACCACTACGGATGACTTCCTTCTGGATCACTGGGAAAGGAAATGAGATGGGGGCACAGTGCTACAGCGGCTCTGCACCTTTTGGCAACCCTACTGCTGAAGGCAGTGCTGGGGGATTCATACTCTGCTCTGTGCCACAAGGCCCCACTGTCTCCCAGTCTGCTCAACATCTATATAAAACAGCAGATGAGGCAATATGGAGCGAGATACCTTCCATATGGTGATGACACCCAGCTCCATTTTGCCTTTCCATCTAATCCAGGTGAGATGGTGGATAGTGTGAACATGCATCTGAACTCTATAACAGATCAGAAGGGAAATAACAAACGGGGGCTCACTTGAGACAAGATAAGAGTTGGCAGGTGAGCAAACTGATTGAGGAGCAGTAGTGATCTTGTTACATGTGGGATTCCAGACTGCTCACAAGATCAGGTCCATGAGATTCAGCCCAGATGGATGGCAACGGAACCCATGTTTCAGAGTGCCTTTTATTGACTTTCTTGAGACCCTTCCTAGGAAAACGTGAACCTGTCATGGTTACCCACGCTTTGGTAAAATCCGCATTGCACTTCTGCAATGGGTTCTACACACAGCTGCTTCTAAAAATTGTTTCAAAGCTTCCAGTGAGTACAGAATTCCACTGCCAGATTGCTAACTGAGGCACAAGGTCTGATCAGATTATGCCTGCATTTACAAATCACTGAAAGTGCTGATTTTGACTCTCTACCCTGGTCTCCGCTGAGACTGTGGAAAGTTAAAAACAGGAATCCATAACACTCCACTGCAATGTCCCAAGGACAAACTCACAGAAAGAATACCAGAAATAATACTCCAGTGTCGCTAAGGATCTGGGGGAATAAAAGTGTTAATTGGTTGCTGACAGAAATGTTAGAATCAGAGTTAGAAGGACAGGAGCACTGTAATCTAATTTGAACCTTACCAGAACACGAATAACCAGAACACGAATAACAGAAGCAAAAGTCAGATTTTCTCAGGAAGTGTCACAGGTGATGCACCATCCAATGTTGGTAAGGGAAGACTCAGCCGAGGATCGGCCCCTGAAAGGGGAGGTCAATAGGTTTATCACTAGGATTATCAGGAGAAAGAAGGGTGAGGTAGAGTAAGGGAATTATGCATGCAAATTTACATATCTCAGCAGAATCCCATCAACAGGATTTTTTATTTTTTACTTATTAGTTGTAGCCGAACTTTTTCCCAAAGAGCCGCATGGCATTTTAGACCCAGTGGCATTTTTGAGGAAGAAATATACCCTCCACATACACAGATTCTCTGGACCACCCAAGCATCCATCTTCCATGGGGGAGACTCACATGCAGCACCTTCTGGTACTACACAGAAAGACACCTTTCCTAGTTGTTCTTTGCTTCTTGCTGAATTACCTGCATATGGTAACCCTCTCAGAGGTCCCTTCCACACAGACAATAAAAATTAAACAATGGGGACAGACCTCAATAAGCATGTGGGAATTTGTGTAATTATAAAAAGCAGGTTAATTTTAGACACAGCAGCAAAGAATAACGTAAAAGGAGAGCAACAGGAAACTCTGCAAACACGAACACATCCACAGATTCTACCTGGCAACTTATACCTGTATGTGCATAGGGTTCAAATGAAGGTCACTACTCACTCCTAGGTGGGAAACAAACAGAAACTTCTGGCATTCTCCAGTCTCCCTCCCACCCTGTTCAGTTGGGATTCCACTGGCATACAGGCAACCAAACTTCCCAAGTGCACTCTCATCTTGCCAAGTACCAAGAAGGCTTTTATCACATGTACATGTGGTAAGATAGTTGACCACACATGGGCTTGGGTGCATTTTGTTCTTGACCCTGGTTGGAACGCTGTCAAAGCCCCAGGGCTGACTAGCAAATAAGGAGTGGAAGAAGCCTCTCAGAAGGAAAAGGCTCCAATCCCCAGGCAAACTTAGAGAAAGGGGCCCTCCACTTTCTTCCAGATTCCTCTTATAGAGGTATTGGTCTGAGCTTTCAGGTTTTCAGCCCAATGCTTGTACTTGGAAGCCCCTGTCAACTTCCCTGATGCACAGATAATAGTTTCCCCAGAAGCGGAGCCTTTTAAAAGTCTTGATTAACCATCCAATGGGTTTAGGATTTGGGGCAGGCGCTAAGCAGCAGGGCCTCATCTGGAGTGCAAGCAAGGCATTATGCCACAGTTTTATCTTGGCAGTTCATCCCCTTGGGACAAGAGACTTTGTCCCAGGTATCTGCCCGAAGTGATGTGGGGGGATTCGCCACCACAGGCTCCCAGCTTAGTGACCACCTGTCTCAGGAAATGTATGGGATCCTTCACATGCTCCCAATGGAGATCAGGGCCCTGCAGGATTTAATGCCATTCCGCAGGGCCTGTAAAACGAAGCTGTTCCGCCAGGCCTTTGGTCGAGGCCGTGGACATCTAGACACTTTGGCCTGGGGTGAACTGCCCATTCTAGAGATTGCCATCTTTGTCAGCATATGCCCGGCACCAGAGGATACTGGAAATTGAGATTTTCTGCCATTTTTTGCTGTTTTTAGGAATTTTAACTTTGTATGAATTTGAACTTGCATTTGGTTTTATTACTATGTTTGTATTTTAACTGTTGTGACCTGCCCTGAGCCCACTTGTGGGGAGGGCAAGATATAAATCCAAATCATCACCATCACCACTACCGGGAAGGGTAGGCTGCTAGACAAGGCAAGGGTCTCTGGATCTTTTATCAGGCATCTTCCTCTGTGGGTCTCCAGCCCAGAAGGAGGTGCCTTAGCTCGCTGGCATCGGTGCCAGCCTTGCCCCCCTGGCTATCGCCCATCAGAAGGAAGGCGCCGCTGCCAGTCCAGAGATGGGTAAGCCTAGGTGGGCCAAGGGCCACTTTCAGACGTGCCCCGCGTGCCAGTCAGCGGTGCAGGATTGCGCCCCGAAGAGATGCCCACAACAGGGTTCCTCCTTTCGGGAGCGGCCGGGTCGGATTCCCACAGCAGGGGCAAGCGAGAGAGTTGCGTGTCGCGGGAGGGCGGCCAAGTCGGCAGCAGTCGGCCCGGCCTCCCTCGGAGTGAGGAGCAGCCCAGCCCTTCACTGCAGGGGCGAGACGCTGCCGGGGAAAGGAGCCCCGAAACCTCCCGGCCAGGCCAGGGAGACCCGCGGGACGGGGGCGGCCGAGCGGTCTCTGGGGCCCGGCGTGGGCTGTGGCGGGGGGAACCAGACCTACCTCCGTCTGAGTCTGACCCACCTTAGAGGCCCGGAAGAGAGACGCGGCCTAGTCGCCCCGCTCGATCCTCGGTCTCGCGTTAATCGCTACTGCAGCGGAGGCGGGGGCACGAAGGGAGAGCGAGGAGGCGGCCGGAGAGGAGAGACGCTGGAAGGGGCGGCGCCCGGCCGGCAGAGAAGGATCAGCGAGGATCGGGGCCGCCCTCTGCCGGACCGCGGAGGGAACTGCGGGGGGAGGGGCAAGCGAGGCCGAAGCGGCGGAGGGCCCGGGCCGGGCCACGCCGGAGGGCTTGGGGGGCGGGGGGAGCGAAGGAGACTTACGCGCGAGCGGCAGCCGGCGGACAAACGGCCTCGGCCACGCGTGGCTCCTGGCGCCCGGCTCGGGATCGGAGGGGCTTCCCAGCTGCGCAGAGACTAGAAGCGTCCGATATAGATTTAGGGGGCGGAGGGAACCCTGGTTGGGGAACCTGGAGGGCGGCAGAACCACGCGTCTTGCGTGTAAATCTAACAGAGGGTGCTGATGGACGGGCAGCTCTTTGAGGCGGGTAAAAGCACGTTTTGCGCTTGTCTGAAATCAACTTTAAAACGGATTTCTGCAGCATTTTTAGTCTCGCAGGAGATTTGGTAGACCAGAACTAATTTGCAGGGGCGATCCACTCGTTCTACTTGGTAAAGTGGGCTGTAACCACAAAAGCTTGTGCTGGAATAAAAAGCATGTGTGGGGGGGTGTGAACACACCCACACACACAAGCAAACGAGATCGGAGACCTATGTCACGGTAAAGATTTCTTTACAGTGACGCAAAACTATCTTGTCTGTGTGTGAGAGAATTATTATTACTATTAAATGCATTTATTCTCTTTCATTTCTCACTGGGACCTGATGCGGATAAAACCTTTTCAGTCAAATGGAAAGTGGATTACAAAATACACCATCTGAATCTAACAGCAAAGATTCTTCCTAGTAAGACGAAAGAACACAGTTGGGCTGAGATTGCAGAAGAGGAGGGAGAGGAAAGGGGTGGGAACAGAACAAGCAAACCTCTCCGTTTAAGGCCACAAGATGATGAGGTGGCGGAAAGTGCCCTCAAGTCACAGCAGGCTTATGGCGACCTCGTAGGAGATGTTCAGAGGTGGTTTGCCATTGCCCGGCTCCCCCTTGGAGCTTTCCCATCCAAACTACAAGCCAGGGCTCACCCTGCTTAGCTTCCAAGGCTGGGCTAGCCTGGGCTCTCCAGGGCAGGAAAGACCCCTAATAAAAGTCACCTTCTGAGCTGATCCATTACACCATAGCTTTGCTTCCACTTCAGGAATATCCTTTTGAGCAATTTTATGAAAGGAAAGAAGCATGGGAACCTTCCTAATAGCCTGAATACGCACGAACAAGTCTTGTGGAGCCTTTAATGAAGATTGACAGACAATATATAGTCTTTTAATCTTCCTAAAGATTTAAGATGTTAACCATGTTAACCATTACTTCCTACATTTGACCTCCTGAAATTCTTAATCTCATGTTATATGATAACATTGTGACTAAGAGGTCCAGTTATCTCTTGTCAGTGTATACTGAGAAATGTTGTGAAAATACGGGATAAAAATGTTGTTTATTTTTGCTGCGAAAACTGAAAGCAAAGGGAGGGATGACTCAGTTCTAGTCCACAAAAATGTATACTGGCAATAAAATGTTGTTACTCTTTAAGGTGCCACTAGACTCCTGCTTATTTTTACAGCATATCATATAATAGTATAAACTGTATAAAGTAAAGGTAAAGGTTCCCTTTCGACTCTAGGGTTGAGGTGCTCATCTCCGTTTCAAAGCCGAAGAGCCAGCGCTGTCCAAAGACGTTTCCGTGGTCATGTGGCCAGCATGACTAAACACCAAGGCGCACTGAACGCTGTTACCTTCCCACCGAAGTGGTACCTATTTATCTACTTGCAATTTCTTGCTTTCGAACTGCTCGGTTGGCAGGAGCTGGAACTAGAGACGGGAGCTCACTCCGTCTTGCGGCACCCGGGTCTCGAACTGCTGAACTACTGACCTTCCACAGCCTGCAGTTCAGCATCTTAACCACTTGAGCCACCGCAGCTCCTTATAAACTGTATATAATGGTATAAATAGTTTTGAGTCCAGTAGCACTTGGAGATCATCAAGAGCTTCATGGTATGAGCTTTTGAGAGTCAAAGTTTCCTTTGTCAGACACAAGTAGTCTACTGTGGCTACTTTTGTCTGATGAAGGGCAACTTTGACTTTTGAAAACGTATACTTGAAACTCTTGTTGGTCTCTAAGGTGCTGTTATTTATTATTATTTATCATATGGCAGAGTTACACAAAGGAAGCATATAATAATAAAAAAGACGTAACCAAGTTGAGACAAGGGGTATGCAGACCGATTGGGCTATCCTGCTAAATGGTAAAGGTAAAGGTTTCCCTTGCTTGAAAGCCAGTCGAATCCGACTCTAGGGTTGCGGTGCTCATCTCCATTTCCAAGCCAAAGAGCCACCGCTGTCCAAAGACATTTCCGTGGTCATGTGGCCGGCATGACTAGACGGCAAGGCGCACGGAACGCTGTTACCTTCCCACCAAAGCAGTACCTATTTATCTACTTGCAGTTTCTTGCTTTCGAACTGCTAGGTTGGCAGGAGCCGCGGCCAGAGAGGGGAGCTCACTCCTTCATGCGGCACTCTGGTCTCGAACTGCTGAACTACCAACCTTCCGGTCTGCAGTCCAGCGTCTTAACCACTTGAGCCACCGCAGCCCCTTAATCCCGCTAAATACTAATATCTAAATTTTCAACCCACTCAATTGCAGCTGGGGAGAGTTCAAAGAGCTCCATCACATCACCCTGGAAAGCATGACACTCATATTCCTGTGACAGATGGAAAATAGTTTGGTGGGCTGTACCACAATCGCATTTGGATCTTGGTATTTTGACCCATTTAAATAACAGGTCTGCACAGCTGCAAAGGCCCATTCGTATTCTATTAGCCATCTTCCATAGTTTATGTGGCAAGTCAAATCCTGCAGACCTCACGTTGGTGTTTATTAGTTTATGTTTATCAGGTGGAACTGATTGCATCCAAGTTTGCAACCATTTTTTCCCTAGATCGAAATTTTCGGATTACCGGATTTGTGCAGATCTTATTGCTAGGTGTTGGGATTTTAGTCTGGATAGGCCTGCGTCAGCCATGTCTTTGTGGATGGGCAACTCTCTGTTTTCAGTGATCTTCACGAAAAAGAGGTGCTGCTGGACTCAAATCCAACTGTTCTACTGCAGACCAACATGGCTACCCTCTGAAATGGGATAAATCTTTTTACAAAACTGATTTTTTAACAATAATTAATTGTATGAGGTAAATCATTTCACTTCTGAAGGGGAAGACAAACTGAAGTATGTAGGTAGGTCTCTGGGCAGCCTGCCAAATGGTGAAACTGATGATGCCTAGTTACTGTTACTAAGGAAATAGTTTTTGGTTGGCTAGTTAGGGCATGAGAAAACCACTTTCATTGGCCTTTAGGTTAGAACCAATGAGATGAAAGACTGAGACACGGTGAACTGTTATTGGTTGAAGCATCTTAACAGGAGAGAATAAAGGGCTTGCCTCACTCTGATCAGAGACAGGTGTGTGGAAGAAGACTAAATGGCTGATGTTCAACACAGAGATAGTTGGCCTTTAAAATTATGTCCTGGAATATGTTTTTCTCCTCCACCTCCTTTTTTATTTTGTAGCATTCAGCCTGCTGAAGAGTTCTTGTGACCTGAAAGCTGGTGTACTGTTTTGGGTCTTTCAGTCAGTCCTAATAAAAGATTGGATTTTGGTCCGGAACAGCTACCAACCTCTTTTGAAAAATGGAAGAGGCAGCAAGAAGACTGACAGTAGAGATATCTGAGAAAAGAAGTTTGTGATTTGGCAGGGGGAACTGAGAGAAAGATATAGATTAGAGGAAGAAGGGCCTGAGAAGGTTGGCTGAGGACGAGGTGGAGCACTTGGTGTCCTTATACCAATGTTTTCTATGAGCAATTCCATCCAAAGGGGAGCCACTCGCTTCCTGCATGTGCCAATGACTTTAATATGCAGAACAAGTCAAGAAAGTCTGACCAGAAGGAAGACTTCAGCCTTCCCCTGCCCCCATTGCCACTGAGACCAACTCAAAATCTTCATGAATGGTGCATTAATCTCTTGCGAGATTTCACAAGGAACAAGAATCCAACTTCCAGGCAGTGGGCTTCACAATCATGAGTTGCCTGATTCATACATTATTGCAGAGGTCTCCAATGTGGTGCCCATCAAGTGTTTTTAGAACATGGGTGAGGTCATGGGGACTTTTGTCCAGCGGGACTTCTGACTGGCCATTGGAGATATGATTGGGTGTGCAGATTTATTTTTTAAAATTGCTTTGGCAACAGCTGCCACCACGATACAACAGTTTTCACTGTGTGACTAAAGGTAAGCTGTCCATATGCAAAAAAAAGTTGTAAAACAATGTTCATTTTTAAAGTCCTCCTGTTAAACTGAACCTCTGCCTGAAATGTTGAAGGGTTACTATCAGAGTCAATGCATAACCTCACTCCCTGACATTTTGTAGTTGGTTCCACTTCCCATGGCATTTTGTTGTTGGCTCCACCTCCTGCAGCAGCCGTTTTGTAGCTGCACCCACCAATATATGAGAATTCCAAAGGTGCCTGCAGGCTCAAAAAGTTTGGAGACCCCAGCATTATTGTATGATAATAGTTCCCACTAGGGATGCAAATGGTGTGACTGCTACTCTGTGTTAAGCTGGATGTGGGCTTTTTCTTACTCTTTGTAGGTCTATTTATTTATTTCATCTTATATTCCACCCTCCCCATGAACGGGCTCAGAGTGGATGACAACAAAAGTTAAAACATTTCAGTCTGTCCAGTGGGCTTTACTTCCAGGAAAATGTCCTTGGGATTGCACTGGGAATTAGTAATGCCACCACTGCTCTACCATTAGCTCTGGATCCAGCGCATTTACCTGCAGCCCCACTCACCCTGCCCTCCTCTAAGCCCAAACCCTGTAGGCCCCCAAATCCTTTGCACCTCACACTGATGTTCATTGGTTCTTCCGTTAACAAATTACTGTTCCACCAACTTCACTGAAAATGTTATGCAGGAAAGCCATTGTCCAATGCGTGGGGCTGAAGGGGGGACATGTATTTTTGGGGCATGCAGTATTGACCACTGGGGAGTCAGTCCCTTTGCCATAATGAATGCATTGGTATGGAGCAGGGGTGGCCAAACTTGCTTGACGTAAGAGCCACATAGAATAAACGTTAGATGTTTGAGAGCCGCAAGATATGAACAAATATGCAAATTTGCTTTTTATTAACATTAAATGAGACTGCCAAAAATAATAACAAAAGCAGTAAAAGCAAATATTGATAATGATATTTATTTGTCCAATTATATTTGTTTGCTAATGATATTTAGCTTCCCCAGCCGCCCTCCCAGGAGCCGCACAATATGTGTGAAAGAGCCACATGCCGCTCCCGAGCCACAGTTTGGCCACCCCTGGTCTGGAGCAAATATGACTCTTTCACCACCACCAGTGCACCTGACAATGTCAATTTTGCTTCTTCCTCACAGTTCCCCCCCCCCCCCCCATATTATACAAAAGGGAAGGTATTTTTGCTTCCTTCCATTGAAGAGAAGGAAAAGCATCAGCAAGGGCAATGAAGGGACCAAACTGTACCCTGCCTTTGTCCACTTGTCCTAAAGATCTACCTCCCCAGTGAATCCGTAGCTGTTAGAAGTGGGTCATCCCAACTCACAGCACTGCCTCTTGAGCTAGTTTAAATAACAGGGACTGAAAGGGTGGCCACCTTCCAGGTGCAGCCTGGAAATCTCCAGAATAACAAGTGATCTGGACTAAAGATGTTCCCCTGGAGAAAATGGCTGCTGTGATGGGTAGACCCAATGGCATTATAACCCACTGATGATCCTGCCCCTCTCCAGGCTTTGCCCCCAGATCTCCAGTAATTTCCCAGCCCAGAGCTGGCAACCCTAATTGACTGACCAGTCAGTCTCAAATGTTTTGAAAACTGTTTCACAGACAGCTAGTGTTCACAGCAGGTTTCCCCCCCCCCACCCTGAATCATTTTCCTTTATTTAGATATTTCTCTATACCCCGCCGTTCGCCCCAGAGGGAACCAATCAAATCAGCTTCCCCCATCAATCTCCCCTCCTCCATCCTATCCTCACAACAACCACCCTGCAAGGTGGAAGAGGCTGAAAATGTGTGGGACTGGCCCCAGGACACCCAGCAAGCCTCTTTCCCACAGCAGAGATCCCAACCTGGATCTCAAAGCAGTTTGGCACACCTAAGGAATAAAATGCAACAACCTTGGATGATTAAGGCTTCATTAACTGCCACAGGCCAGTAGAAAAAAGCAAGAGTCCAGTAGCACCTTAAAGACTAACAAAATTTGTGGCAGCTTTCGTGAGTCACTGCTGACTTCTTCAGATACAGCTAGAATGTGAGTCCATTTGCCCTGTATATTGGAAAGTGTGGAGTGATTTCAGATGCTGTTAAATAGTGGGTTCCATGGATGAGCAGGCTCAAGTCTAGTGATCAGCTCAACTTTGTGATTTCAGCAAGAGCAAGACAAGACTCCAGAGCCTCAGCTCTGTTAAATAGCATGCAATTGCCACACCCAAACACACCCCACTCCCACTGATAGGCTGTTTACATAACATTAGTACTAGATTGGTTACTTTCAGAATCCTGGTAGGCTATTGTTCTTGTGCTCCAAGCTCAGCCAGTCTCTGGGGTGATTCAATCACAATACATAACAGATGCCCAATGACATTAGCAGGCAAATGACAATAGCAGGTGTGATTGGATTAGGCATGATATGCAGAGAGGTAATAGGCCTGGAGAAATCAGTGTTGGTAATGTGATAGGAAACCTAGGTCTTGATTCTGTCCAAGTGGAAGCTCAAGACAATCCAATCATAGCTGCTGTTTTCATTTGCCTGCTAATGTCATTGGGCATCTGAAATCACCCCCCTGAAATCACCCCCCACACTTTCCAATATACAGGACAAATGGACTCACATTCTAGCTGTATCTGAAGAAAAGAGCAGTGACCAGTGTTTCCTCTAAGCTGAGTTAGTGTGAGTGAGCTCACGGTTTTTTAGCCTCTGGCTCACCCATTTTTGTCTTCGCTCAGGAAGGAGGGCTCCAGAGCCAACTAATTAATGCAACAGCCAAATCGCTGGCTCACACCTTTTAAATGCCAGTAGCTCAGAAAGCAGGATTTTAGCTCACAAGACTCCACAGCTTAGAGGGAGCATTGGCAGTGACTCACGAAAGCTGCCACAAATTTTGTTAGTCTTTAAAGGTGCTACTGGACTCTTGCTCTTTTCGAGTGCTACAGACAAACATGGCTACCCATCTTTTAAAAATAATATTTATTTTTAATTAAGATAAAGGTACAGAAAAAGATCAGGGAAGTAAGGATTTGATAAAAAGATTCAACATATACATAACAAGGACGATCCCGGCTATTCATCTTGATCTGCCACAGGACAATATTTTAGCCTTAAAAGAAGGTTTTTTTAAACACCCAGATTTCTTTCAGAAGCCAAAGTGAGTTCAAGCGGAAAGGCGCCGGCTGTTACCAGGACCAAACGGTGGCTGTGGCCCACTGGGGGGATAAATATCTAAAAATAAATACATTAGGGGACGACAGAAAGCCCTTTCTGCTTCTCACTCTTTGCGGGTGGGGTGGGGGGCAATGTTCCCTCTAAGTTGTGGAATCTAGTGAGCAAAAATTCTATTTTGCGAGCTACTAGCAGTAAAGTTGTGAGCAAGCGATTTGGCTACTGCATAAATCAGTTTGCTCTGGAGCCCTCCTTCCTGAGCTGAGACAAAAATGTGTGAGTTGGAGGCTAAAAAACTGTGAGCTAGCTCACACTAACTCAGCTTAGAGGGAACACTGGTGGGGGGCTGTTTTGCTTTGGTTAAAAAGAACCCTGAGAGCTCCACGGGAAGAGACGACCGGAGCGGGAGGAGGCTGTCCGGCTGGCGCCGCCTCTGGTCCTGCCCTCCTTGCGTCCTTCCTTTGCAGCGTCTTCGACGAGGCGCTCCATGCGGGCGCGCCGAGAGGCGGAAAGGCGCGTCGGCCATGAGCAGGGCAACCATGCTGGTGGGCTACAGCAGCAGCAGCAGCAGCTCGGGCTCGTCGCCGTCCGCCTCGGGCGACGAAGGCGGCTCCCCCGCGGCCCAGGAGGCAGCCACTCAGGCGGGGGACCCGGCCTCCCTTCCCGGTGCTAGGTGGGCGTCCTTCCTCGCAGTGTCTGACTGGCCGCTGGGGTGTGGGGGGCAAGGGGGAAGCAGAACCAGAGGCCAGGCGGCGGCGGCGGCGATGGAGACTGCCTTCAAGTCACCGCTGACTTATGGCGACCCCGTAGGGTAGGGGCTTTCAAGGTTCAAGAGAGGTTCAGCGGCGGTGGTTTGCCATTGCCTGCCTCAGCGTAGCAGCCCTGGACTTCCCCCCTGGTGGGAGGGTGGCCTGTGTCCAGGTGGCACTTAGAGAGCTCCTGAAATTAGAGCTGTTCTCCAGGCAACAGAGATCAGTTCCCTGGAGGAAAAATGGCTGCTTTTGAAAGTAAACTCAACGGCAATATAGAGGTACCTCCTACCTAAACCCCACCCCCTCAGGCTCCACCCCCAAAATCTCCAGGAATTTACCTACTCAGACCTGGCAACTCTACTTGCTAGTCCTGCATCAAAGTATTCTCCAGGGCTGACCCTGCTTAGTTTCTGACATCTGATGATGGGCAAGCCTGGGCCGTCCAGGCCAGAGGTTCCCCCCACCCATGGTTCAGTGAAACAAGAGCCCCTCCCCGGTGCTGTATGTATTAAAATAGCCTTCCCCCCACCCCCATAGCTCATGGCGGCTTTCAGATTTAAAACATGAAAAATAAAACCCCAAATAACCTGTTTACCCCTTGAAAAGCTTGTCATGGTTTTGCCATGGGTGCCAGAAGCTTTTGTAGACCAGAGCCCTCTTTATGCAAATACTGAGAATGCTTCCTCTGAAACTAATTATTTGCCTCTCCCTTTTTTTCCATTGCAAAGGGAGCTCAGCTTGTAACAGCTTGCAGGAAAGGAGGAGGATGGTGTGCCCTCTTTCCATCTTCCCCAATCCTCCCTCCTCTCTCCCATCTCCTTAATGTTATGGAGTGACAAAATTTGAGGCCAGACGAGCAGCTTCACCAATGAAAATTTTTGTGGCACAGCATGAAACCCCCAGGGCTTAACAGAGATATCGGCTTCTTATCTCACTACAATGCTAAGTTGCTCAGTTCTCACTTATACCAAGGAATTAAACTTTGTTGGTCTTTAAGGTGCCACAAACTTACTTCTCCCATCTGTTGTTAACTCCTTTATTATCTGTTTGCAAATTTGGTGCTAATATTTACATGTCTTACCAAATGTGTTATTCCAATCTTAGCTGTATTTATTGCTCAGTTACTTATTATGCATTTTGACTCTAATTAGCTCTTCCTAGCAACTAACCTCCCCCACCTATATGCAATATTTGAGGAAATCTGTTTCAATGCATCTGAAGGAGTGTTCATCTATACATGCTAAGTCTCTCAGTTCTCGCTTATACCAGAAATTGAAATCTGTTTGTTTTGAAGGTTCTACTGGACTCAAAACTTTGTTCTCATATCTGTACAAACAAAATTAGGATTTTTATGCTAATTTACTGCCACTCACAGATTTTAACAACCACTTTAATCAAATCTGTCAGACTCCTGGGCAAGTTACTCTCAACCACACTGTCTTTGGTAGTGAAAGGCTTTACTGAGATATAAACAAGTTCTAGGCCTTAATAGTATTGTGTCAGTTCTGAAGATTTTGCTGGGCACATGCAAAGATATAGGTGATTCAAATGTAACCCCTCCTAAGCCCCATGCATGTCACATTCACACTGCCTAGCTCCAGCTTCTCTAACACCCCCCCCCTTTTCACATGGAAGAAATATATGATTCCATTATCCACAAAGCTAGCTGGTACCAGAAGATTCAAGGATGTTCCTCTGTGAACGAGAGAAAGGCTCTTCTAACGAGTTATGCTCCTACCTATGGTAGTGCAGTCACACACTCCACACTCACACCCCCTCCTAAGGAATTCCCCTCCCCCCAGCATCCACGGCAAACTGAGCAAAGCAAGGTTTGACACAATCTCAGCTATAATTGCCCAGTTACCCATGCATCTTGACTCCAACTAGCTCTTCCTGGCAACTAACCCTCTTCCTATACGTAGTGGCTGAGGAAATTCTGTTTCACTCTGTCTGAAGAAGTGTGCTTGCCCACGAAACCTTCTTCCTTAAATAAAACTTTGTTGGTCTTGAAAGTGCCACTGGACTCAAACTTTGTTTATGGAGCAGCAGTGAGTGACAGATGCCCAGGCTGGAAGGATAGGCCTTCCTGCTTGTGCCAGTGAGGGGTGTTTTCCAGTGTTGGCCCGCAAGTGGTTAATCCATTCTTTTCAATGTCAAGTTGCCGTCTTGATTAGGAATGGTGTTGCCAGAGCAACTAGACCTGAAACAAGGTGTGCAATTCCAGAGTTAAACTTAAGAAATTGCTTTCCTCTGTTTAACTCTCTACCCTGCACCTCTCAAATGTCCCTATTTCTGGTGCCCTGAGCTCGCGTCTCTTGCGCCACCTACATACATCATGGCTCCGGTGGAGATATTTTCCTTGCCATTTCTCGTCTTGAGCTCCGGTGGTACCTTTGGATTCATTTAGAACTGTTTTCCTCTCTTTCTCAAAAAAGAAAGAAAACTGACATGGGTACTTCGGGAATACTAAAAATGCTATTTTGATTCTGGTTCCCTGTCTTGCAGCATAGCAGCTCCTCGCCTTCCTATACCAGACAGTGTGCTAAATATGTTCAGAGACCAGGAAGAGAAGGAGACGGTGGTGGATGACCGCAGCAAGCACGGAGGCCGTGTGCGGACCTTTGCACATGAGCGTGGCAACTGGGCAACGTACATCTATGTGCCTTGTAAGTCCCTTCAGTGCTGCCCAGTCTGTGTACAACAGTGAGAGGAAGTAAGGTTGCTAACTTCCAGATGGGGCCTGGAGATCTCCCAGCGTTATACCTGATCTCCACACTACATGTATCCATTTTCCTGGAGGAAACTGGAGGTGGACTCTGCGGCATCCCATCCTGCTCCCTCCCCGAACATCACCTGCCCCAAGCACTGCCCCCAAATCTCCAGGTGTTTTCCAGGCCAGAGTTGGCAATCATAGCGAAGGAAGGCAGAGGACTTCTGCCTCCCCACATTTTGAGAATGACCATCTTTGACAACAAAAAAGTCCTGCTGGAGGTTCCCTTTCACGTTCTCAAAGCAGCACAACTCTAGAAGGGGCCGTCTCAACTATGGGAGGGGGGAGGGGTCAAGGCAAGAGATGAGCAGAGGAGGTTTGCTATTTCCTCCCTCTGCATAGAAACCCCGGACTTCCTTGGTAGTTTCCCAGCTAAATACTAACCAGGATGGGCCCTGCTTAGCTTCCAAGCCCTGACAACCTTGGGCTAAACGGGGGTATTCAGGCTGCTGAGCATAATCCAAGTGAGTGATAGATACCCAGAGCCACTCTTTAAAATCTCCTTGTAGCTGACAGGCCATATTTAACAGAAATATTTCCACTCTTTTCCGGGGTATTCTGTGCTAACAAAACAGCAAAAGGATAGCTCTTTCAAATCATACCATGGGAATATATTTATTAATACTATATGTTGTTGAAGGCTTTCACGGCTGGAGTTCATTAGTTGCTGTAGATTTTCCAGGATGTGTGGCCGTGGTCTTGGCATTGTAGGACCTGACGTTTCATCAGTAACTGTGACTGGCATCCTAAGAGGTATAACTCAGAAAGATGGAGTACTCTCTGTGTCAAGGTGAGAAGGAAATGGTAGTCAGGTCGTTTTTATCTACCCCTGAAGACTCAGCCCCATCTTCTGGAGTAGATATAAATTATCTGCGTACCATTTCCTTCTCACCTTGACACAGAGGATACTCCATCTTTCTGAGTTATACCTCTGAGGATGCCAGTCACAGTTACTGGCGAAACGTCAGGTTCTACAATGCCAAGACCACGGCCACACAACCCAGAAAATCTACAGCAACTAATTTATTAGTACTGATAGTATGGGAAAGAGAATCTGACTCAAACGCTAGCGTTCTCTGAGCTAATACAGACAGAGGGTCCAGGTTTTTATCATGTAGCTACTGGGTTCCCTGTTACTGCTACCCACGTGGTACGCGCTTTGTCTACCATTTATTTTATTTACATTATTTGCAATGCACCTTTCTTACTGAGGCGCAAGGTGGATTACACAGTGTCAGTCAATGCCCGTCAGAAGCCCTGCTGGACAAAAAAACCCCACCTAACCCCACCCTCTTGGCAGGCAGCAGGAAAGGTGTGAGCAGGTACCATGCTGCCCACGGGCACCCCGTCGGGGATCCCTGCTCAAGGCGCTGTGCCATACCAGCTTGAACTACTACCCCACACTAGTTGTATCTCGGCTTAGCCGAGAACCCAGGTCTCCAGTCCTCTACCTGTGTGCTGTTTTTCTTTCCGTCTTGCCTTGCAGACGAAACCCAGGAGGACTTCTTGGATCTGCTGCAGCTGCTCCTTGCACAGGCACACACGCATGTGGCATCGCTGACAGCCGCCGCTGAATTCCACATCAGTCTCTCACATAATGTGGTCTTGCGCCATCACTGGATAAACCCTTTTGTGCAGTCCCTCAAGGAACGCCTGTCCTCCTTTCACAGGTAAGAGATCTTTTGCATTCTTGGGCTGCCTTATCCTGCAGCATGCTTGGTATTGCCTTGCACCTTTCCTCTCCTAGCCCAAATCTTGTACCTGCTCCTGAGGAGTACTTCTTCTACAAGGAAACAGACAGAGGCATTTTCCTGCCTGTGCTAAAAGAAAGCCATGCTTGTCCCCAAATCTCAGGGTGGAGCAAATGGTTTAAAACTCCCCATCATTTATAAAGTAATCTAATGTATTCCACTTGAGAGAACCAGAGGTGATGTGAGGTTGCAGGGAGCGTTCATAGAATACTGAGCTATAGCAATGGCTGCTGGCCACAGTGAATGTAGAACCTCCATGTTCAGAGGCAGTATATCTCTTAATTCCAGCTGTTGGGGGGGAGCAGCAGAGGGAGGCTTTGGCCTCTGTGCTCTGCTTGTAGAGCTCCCAGGTGCACTGTGGGACTAGGTAGGTAGATCTAGGTAGATCTTTGGCCTGATCCAGCTGGGCTGCTCTTACAGCAAGAAACTAAGAAGAGCAGAGAGATGCTCTTCTAGCCCATGGAAGCATCTTCAAGCTCCCTACAGCCACTGATTGCACCTCTTCAGATGCATGGTGTACTGGTTAGAATGTTAGGCTCTCAGATCGATGGGGCTTAGGTTCAAATCCCCACAGTCCCGCAAAGCTCGTTGGATGTCCTCAGGGCACCCGTGCTGTCTCAGCCTAACCTACTTGACAAGGTTTTGTGAGGATAAATTGTCCAAAGGCAGTCTGCAAACGTTTGTGTTGGTAACTCTTTTGCCCAGTGTAAGAACCAGGTGTCTCTTTTGGAAAACTCCCAGCTCCAGTGCAAAGCTACAGCTTCCAGCATCTCTTTCCAAGCAGTAGTAGGACATATATTTATACAACACCTTTCTTCCATGTATGCCAGGGGTCCCCAATGTGGTCTGCTGTTATTCCTGTGTTCATGGCTGCATCACGGTGCTTGTGCAGGTACAGAGTGGAGCATGGACAGATCTGGCTTGGCCTGCTCCTGTGGCACAAGGCTGCCCTCGCCACGGTATACAGTTTATAGTCCAGCATGGAGCACTCAGCATAGTACCACAGCTCTGTCCATTGCCTTGGCACCCTGTTCACAGTCCAGCAAGGCATGGATAGTAAAAGAGTCTCTCTTAACAGTGCAGTCTGGAACAGCTTCTTGACAACAAAGTGTGGACTCAGATGAGGACCTGTGATTATGGGGTCAGCATGCATGGGTGGGAGTTAAGACATGCTGGCCGCGAGCCATCTAGAACATCACAAGCATTTTGAATGTGGATAGACACAAACTAGAAGTCGAAGAAGATGGCATGCCACTGGATTTACGCTTTGTCTGCGTTAGACCTTTTTGCGATGGCACTTTGCCCCTCTCGCAGTGCTTTTTAAAAGCAGACTGCAGTGCTCTAATCTGGATGTTGCTTTTGAATGCATAACGGAGAACCAGTTGGGTGTAGAGCTCACGGGCACCTTTAAAATTCTGACCCAGGGTGATGGGCACAGCCTCAAAATGCTGCAGAGTCAACTGCAAAATGTCGGTGAATGAGGTTATGCATAACTCTAATAGTAACAGATGAGAGCCAGTACTGGTGTAGCGGTTAAGAGTATTGGACTAGTATCTGAAAGACCCAGGTTTGAATCCTCACTCATGCTGTGGGAGGTTGCTGGGTGACCTTGGACCGGTCATGCTCTTTCAGCCTAACCTAACTCACAGGCAATGCTCCCTCTCAGCTGTGGAATCTTGTGAGCAAAAATTCTACTTTGTGAGCTACTGGCATTAAAGTTGTGAGCAAATGATATGGCCCCTGACATTAAAGTTGTGAGCAAGCAATTCGACTACTGACATTAAAGTTGTGAGCAAGCAATTTGGCTACTGCAAACTGCTGTATAAAGTAGTTTGCTCTGGAGCCATCATTCCTGAGCTAAGACAAAAATCTGTAAGCTGGAGGCTAAAAAAACTGTGAACTACCTCACACTAACTCAGCTTAGAGGGAACACTGCTCACAGGGTAATTGTCAGGATAAAAATGGAGGGGAGGAGAATGATGCATGCTTTTTTGGGTCCCTATCACTGTTCCCTCTAAGCTGAGTTAGTGTGAGTCAGCTCACAGTTTTTTAGCCTCTGGCTCACACATTTTTGTCTCAGCTCAGGAAGGGTGGCTCCAGAGCTAACTAATATATGTGATAGCCAAATCGCTCACTCACAACTTTAATGCCAGTAGCTCACAAGGTAGAATTTTTGCTCATAAGACTCCACAGCTTAGAGGGAGCATTGGTCCCCACTGGGGAGAAAGGAAGGGTATAAATGAATTAAATAACTTTTCAGCATTTTAGACAGAAGCTTGGTTTAACAGGATGTCTTTTAAAATGGATATAATTGTGCTGCGGTGGGAGCTGCTGCAGAATCAACTTCTCAGTAATTTGCACAGCCAATCAAAATGGCCAATCGGAAGCCATTTTGTTGGACAACAAGCCCACCTGGCCTCGCCTATTTTCTAAAAACACTTGGCAGATGCCAGGAAATAGAGTTGCCAGTCTTATCTGGCTGCCAGCAGGGGGCTCCAGCCAGCCCAGATTCCTGGATCTTCTGGTGCGCGTGCTTTGCGCGCATCCTTTAATGATGTCACCTGGAAGTGACGTCATCGTGCAGGGAGTGCTTTAGCATTTGGCCAACAATTGTATGGTCACCACAGAGTTTTTAGACAGATACTAGAGTGTCCCCTGCACGACGTGCCCGGTGCGATGACATCGTCTCTGGGTGACATCATGGTGCCAAGCATGACAGGGCTTTTTGAGTAGGAGCCACCGCCCCATTATAGCACAACCGTCAAGGTATCTTAAAGGATGCATCGACGAGGCCTGAGGAAGAACCTGGAAACTATTGAAGATCTGACAAGCCGTCGCCATTGGACACGTATACTATGGGAGGACCATCTGGAACTGCGGTGTTACCATCTTGGATTTAGGATATTAGTAATGGATTGAGTACTGTGGTTTTAGTGTAGGATGTTTTACTATGTTTTATATGTTTTTACCTATGGCATGGCAAATGACCTTGCCCTTGTTAGCCGCTCTGAGCCCATTGGGGAGGGCGGGATACAAATATGAAAAATAAATAAATAATTTGGGGGGCAGGGCTCTCTGCTGGCCAGCTGGCTGGCGGTGGATTGGGCCTCCCTGAAAGTGAGGAAACCCCTGCCCCATCAGGGGATGGCAACCAATGCTCCCTCTAAGCTGTGGAGTCTTGTGAGCAAAAATTCTATTTTGTCAGCTACTGGCATTAAAGCTGTGAGCGAGCGATTTGGCTACTGCATAAATTAGTTTGCTCTGGAGCCATCCTTCCTGAGCCAAGACAAAAATGTGTGAGCCGGAGGCTAAAAAACTGTGAGCTCGCTCACACTAACTCAGCTTAGAGGGGAACACTGATGGCAACCCTACCAGGATGGGTTCTGGTGAGCACTGTGGCACCCACAGATACCTTGAATTAGAGTATTGGACTCAGATCTGGGAGACCCGGGTTCAAGTCCCCACTCTGCCATGGCAGCTGGCTGGGTGACCATGGGTCAGTCACATACTCTCAGCCATAACCTGCCTCATGGGGTGGTTGTGAGGATAAAATGGTGTGGAGGAGAACAACATAAGCGGCTTTCGGTCTCCATTGGAGAGAAAGGTGGAGTATATATGAAATAAATAAACACATAAATAACTGTGGCTGGTCTGCTGAAGACAAGGCTGCAGCTGGTGAGCAAGGCAGTGCTGTGCCCCTGTGCCCTGTTTTTGCTCTTCATCTTCCCAGATGAGATGACTTTTCTCCCTCATTTCAGGTTTGTCTGCAGAACAGACCAAGTGAAAATTTACACCAATGAGACAAAAACCAGGTGGGTGCCGTGACTCTTGGGATTTCTGCCCCCCCCCCCCAAGAGCAGTGGGGAATGAGCTTCAAAGCCCTGTAGCCATTACTGTTTCTTAATGCAAACTCTATTGCTGCTTGTAGAGCTGCTTGATCACACACACACACACACACACAAATGCAACCGTTGCATGAGGGGCCCGGAGTATTTTTGTCAAGAGTATGGCTGGTATGCCCCAACCTGGATAGCCTACCAGGCAAGCCGGATCTCGTCAGATCTCAGAAGCTAAGCAGGGACGACCCTGGCAAGTACTTGGATGAGAGACCTCCTTGGAGTACCAGAAGTCAAGAGGCGGGGGCAGGCTTTATTCAGCCACCTCTCTGAATATCCTTCAGACCCTCAGTAGGGGTCAATCACCAGAGGTCGCCATGACTTCCAGGTGTGCGCGTGCGCACACATGCACATATGAAAAATACAAAAAAACCAAAACCCCAAAAAGTTTGTGCCTGGAGGAAGGGAAGATCATTATAGTCACCATGGAGGGATAAGGACTGGGATATTTGCAGAACCTTATTCAGGGTTGGTGCTGTCCCACACAACCTGGTCGGTATCACAAAGAGAGATCCATCCCAATTTGTCCAACCAGGTTTTTGTTACGCAGGTTCGCCTTCTTGCTCAGAATTAATTCCTAGATGGCAAAGGTCTTACTGTGGACTCAGTGTGGCCTGGTTTTTACTAAATGTTCTATTCATATTTTATTATGCACCTGTTGATATTTATAGTTCCCCTTGTGGAAGACTTTTGTCAAAACCAGTTGAGAGACTTTTGTAACAAATCTTCTCCTTGGCAGCATTTTGAGGTTCACTGTGTACCCCAGTACTATCTTTAGCAGTTGCCCCTTTTCTCTTGTGGTTACTTGGGAAGCCTTGGGTTTCCTACCAACTCATGCTGAACTGTTCAGCCACCCGGGGGGGGGGTGCCCTAGGAATGGGGGAGGAGGAATCCTTGGCTACAAATGTCCACTCTGAAAAGCTACCTTAAAATTCCCTCCCCTCTCTTCCTGCAGGACCTTTGTCGGCCTAGAGGTCTCTTCTGGACATTCCCAGTTCTTGGAGCTGGTTTCTGAAGTGGACAGAGTTATGGAGGAGTTCAGTCTAGCCCCATTCTACAAGGTGAAAATTGTTGCTTTCTTCGGTTAGGTGGTGAGAACAGCAACTGAGCCTGCACCAGATTCAGGGTTATCAACTTACATATATTGAATTATTGGTCCTGTTTTATTGGTTCAAAGTGTTTAACCTAGAAATATCGAAATGTATCAGGTCATATAGCTTCAGGACTTCTTAGTTCAAATGTTCGTCTTGAAGGGTGGGTTGTGTCAATGTTTAGTGTACTTTGTGGTAAAAACATATATTTTGGTTTAATTTACTTCTCAAAAAAAAATACTCTCTCACCCAACCTTTGGGTACCCAACTTTGTTGCTTCTTAAGGCTGGGTTTTCCCTCCTTATGTTTGGGTTTGAAGTATTCTTATTGCTCAGCCAGATGGATCTGTTATTTATTTTACTTTTATTTACTTAATTTATAACCCACCCACCCCTTTCTCCCAATGCTCTGGAGAGGAGAGGAGCAGAGCTGGCCTCAGCATACCCTGAGGTGGGGCAGCTGCCAGGGCCCAGAACCTCGGGTGTGGCCCACAACCACCGACCCTCCCCCCATTTACCTCCACTGCCTGTACCTATGCTCCCAACTGCCCAGAGTCATTGAGGAAGGGCATGGTGGCCATGGCATGCATACATTGGCCAGCACTGCCAGAGGAAGGGTGTGCAGGTGGTGCAGGCAACTGAGCATGGGTGGTGGACAGCTTGCAGGTGGGATAAGGACACACAGGCAGGCGGGGGGCATGCAGGCATGGGGGCAGAAAGGAAGGCATGGGTGGCTCCAGTGGTGGGAAGATGGGGGCCCCTGGGCACTGCCTAGCTAGGGCCCCCCAAACCTGGAAATGGCCCCGGAGAGGAGAATGAATGAAAGCCTGTAAAGTGGTCAGATATCCTGGGATGGATAATTAATAATTGCCATATTGCAGTGTGTGTAGTATAGGCAGGAGATCCTATTATTGTCTGGTAGCCAGAAGCTCTAGCTCTTGTGGCAAGCTAGGAGTGGGGAATCGAACCCGGTTCTCCAGATCAGAGTCCACTGCTCTTAACCACTACACAAAACTGGCTCTCTCTGGGGATGGATGATGGGGTGTCGCATCTCTGATTCTTGGCTTCTGGTCCTTCACTGTGTAGAATCCCTCATTCCACCTCAGCCTGGCCTGGTGTGTTGGAAACCTGTCTGAAAAACTTGAAGGCCAGTGTCTCCAGGAGCTGCAGGTAACTAGCCCCATTGTCTTTAGCAGGCAATCCTGAAGCATTTAAAGGATTTTAAGGAACCGGTTTTCCCAGGGGGGGCGGGTGTTTGAAAAGAAGGCATCATGTTTCCAACCATCCTGTGGAAGTATTCAGGGCATCAGCTGGTACAACCAGAGCTCCCTCGGCAGAAAGGTGAAAGGAGCATGTGCCACAACCTGAACAGTCCTTCTGTAAACGCTTATCACTTCAAAAGGCTGGAAAGTGATCTCAGAGTGCAGGAACGCACAGGAGAAGGCTGTTTTTGAAGCATGCAGAGCCTGGCCCATGAAAAGATTTGAAAGTCAAAACTTTGAATTGGACCTGGAAACTAATTGGCAGCCAATATAGACTAGACAAAACAGGGGTAATCATACTGTATGCACCTTTTCCATACAGTAGCATGTCCAAATCACACATGGCCTCCCTCGTGATACACAAATCTGTGCCTGCGTGCTCCTGTCGCCAAATTGAAAACACACAGTCAGAGTCCAACGAGTTAGATGAATATCTGTTTAATTGATTGAAACAGGGAATACAGGGCTGAATGCCTGAGCACCTCTTCCCCAGGAAGGGCAGAAGGTCTTACACCCCAAATGACATCACATACAGTTTACACATTAAAGAATCCCTAATTGATACCAAGCAGTTAAGATCATACAAGCATCATTTGACTTTAAACCTTACTATTGGTCCCTCATGTATTGTCAGTGATTACATTTACTTATCTGCTCTTCAGAGCAATGGGAACATTAGGGAGCACTGAGAACCTTTCTGTCCCTAGTGAAGCTAGTCCCTCTTTCCCTTGTTTCTACGGAGCTAGGTGATAAGGGTTGTGATTCACATTCAGCTTTGCTCTTGACGTCCTTGCAATTTCTTAAATACACATTCCATTCTTATTGCATCCTAATTCTATCCCCAGAGGCCTCTAATAATGATTTTCCTTAACATATATATATATAACTTTGTATACAAAAGGTACAGTTATAAAATATATTCTACTATAAGCTTCTCTAATCAAAAGATACTAGGTTACATACCAATATCTGGATCTATTATAATTAAACTTTTGAAGGCACAATGACAGCTGTCAATATGTAAACATGTCAGAGGAAATGTCAGACCCCACATTCGGAAATCACATTCATTTTTTCCTTGTCCTACACTCACCTAAATACTTCCAGGCCCATTTTCTACCTGAATGGGCTCTTCTCTCCTTTGTTTTCCCAGGAGATTGTGGACGGGTTTGAGGATTCTTCCTACCTTCTTCGGATCCACGTGGCCGAGGTCCGCTGCAAGTCCGGCAAGAAGGTCTTCTCTTTCCCTCTGCGATAGGGGCACATGGGAGCAGTGTGCCACTTGCTTGCCATTTGGTCACCCTTCCGCCTGGAGGTGAAGACTGGTCAGAAGTCACCATAGATTCAAGTGACATCTGCACCTCAACTATGGTCCTCCAGCCTCACACCAAAACTGCCTTTCGTTCTGTTTTGCCTTTGTGGGGACTACAGGTGGTGGTGGGTGGTGATCCAAGACCTGCTCTTGGTGAGCACCCCTGAAATTATTAATATGTGGAGCTGGCATATGTGGGAAAAGGCATTTAGTGCTAGGCTGCAGTTGAATGTGATGCTGCGCCAGTGTGGAAAGCCAGAGGAGTGGAATCCTGTGGACTTTGGGGCTTTGTTTTGGTCCCACAGGAGCAGAATCCAGAGGAGGAAGTAGGGCCGCCAGCCTCCAGGTGGGCAAAAACAACAAAGGGCAACGGAGCAAGAGGGCTGCTGTAACCAAATGTGTTAAACTCTGAAAATGGGCTGCATCCCAGACACTCCGAAATCACATAAAAGTACCACCAGTAAGAATCAACAACTGAAACTCTATTGAAAACAATACAACACTGTGGTCAAAGACAACACCAGTATCAGTGAACTCACAAAAATTGCAAGATTCCAGTTGCCAACTGAGCAAATAGGATGAAGTTAAGCAATCAAACAAACCAATGGCTGAGACATCCTATACCCTTGGGAACAATAACATTCCAAATTACAATAACAACGCAGAGTAATTACATTCAAATATAACAGTAACAATGAGGAGTAATACATTCAGAGATAACAGTAAGTTTTCAGTACAGTACAGTAAGTTAACAGTACAAGGTCCCGGTATAGTTGCCTTGTTTCCATAAGAGTTCAGTTCCCCTGGAGCACAGCTAGAAAAGCAACTGGAAGAAAAGATAGAAAAACAACTAGAGGCGCAGATGGAAAAACAGACGCAGATTCATTTAAAGCGAATGGAAGAGGCCCAGGAAAAGAACATAGCAGCAATTAAAGACTTGGTCACGACAGAAATAACTTCAATCAAGCAAGAAGTGGAAGGAGTCAAGAAAGAAATTCAAGATACGGCAACCAAAGTCACAGCTACGGAAGAAAAGATACAGGAAATGGAAAAGCAACAAGATTCTTTGACACAGCAACTCAAAAGATCAGAAACCATGATGGAGTTCAGGCGTATGCAAACCCATTTGAGATTCAGAGGCATAGTAGAAAAAGAAAAAGAGAATATAAAAGAAGTGATGATAAAGGCAATAACGTTATATTTAGGAGAAGATGAAGGGTCAATGGACACGGAATTTGATTTAATTTACAGAGTGAACTCCAGAATAGCCGAGAAAAAAAACCTACCAAGAGATGTGATTGTGCAATTTGTAACGAGAACAACGACAGAAGACATTTTTAAGAAACAGTTCACCGATCCATTTGAAATTGAAGGACATAAAATAATGGTAATGAGAGAACTCCCGAGAACAATCCTACAAGACAGAAGAAGATACAAACCATTGGCTGACAAACTGAAGACAATGAACATTAGATTCAGATGGGAAATACCACAGGGTTTATCCTTCACATACAAGGCCGTGAGAATTTCGATTAAATCGGTGGATGATTACTATAGGTTTAAGTCGGACAATTTAGACGACTTTGGAGAATTATAAAAAGAATTGCACAATGGATTACAAACTGTTGTCATGGAATGTAAATGGACTGAATTCACCAAATAAGAGAAAAAGAGTTAACCATTGGATACAAAAACAGAAGTGTAATGTGATATGCTTGCAAGAAACTCATATTAGGAGACAAGACGTAAAATATCTAAAAAACAATATATTTGGACAGGAATTTTATTCTTCGGCTTTAAACAAGAAAAAAGGAGTAGTGATCTATGTAAGAAATGAATTACAACCAAAAGAGATTTTTAAAGACGGGGAGGGAAGATACGTGGGTGTAGAACTTATGCTACAGCAGAAAAAGACCTTGTTGATTAATGTATATGCACCCAATGGAGCTAAAGACAATTTTTTTAAAGACTTATCAGAACAAATGCAATTACAAACCTTTGATCAGGTTATTTTAGCCGGAGACTTTAATGGTACAGTAGATCTTTTGGACAGACAAACACAAAAGGGCAACGAATATAGCGGCAAATTGCCAAAGACTTTTTTTGATCTGATTAAACAAGAAAAGCTGGAAGATGTATGGAGAAAATGGAACCCAAGACAGAAAGACTTTACTTTTTATTCCAATAGACATTGTTCTTTTTCTAGAATTGATATGATTTGGATGTCAGAAGAACTGTCAATGAAAACACATAAAATTGAGATTTTGCCAAGATGTAATTCGGACCATAATCCTATATTATGGAGTTCTATAGAAAGGTGTAAACAATTCCTATGGAGGATCAATTAAGATTTGTTGGATAAGAAAGCGATAGTGGATTTATTACAGGAAGAGACAAAATCATTTTTTCAGCAAAATTTAAATAAGGAAACTCCGATACAGGTTGTATGGGAAGCATATAAAGCGGTGATGAGAGGGATTCTCATCTCGCAAAATGTGAGGCAAAAGAAAGAGAAATTTGAAAGACAGGCTGAAGTATTGGCAAGAATATCTCAAAAGGAAAAAGAACTTAAGAAAAAGCCAGGGAAAAAGAAGATTGTTAAAGAATTACAGTTGCTGAAAGAGCAACTGAATGTGACACTGAATCAAGAACTCTATTGGAACTTAAAAAAATTACAACAAAAATCTTTTGAAGGTGCAAATAAACCGGGAAAGTATCTAGCTTGGCAATTAAAGAACAGACGAGAGAAAAGAATGATAACCAAAATAATACAAGATGGAAAAGAATTTGTTGACCCTAATGGAATAAAAAGAAGTTTCTTCAAGTATTATGCAAAACTTTTCCAAGGATCTAAAGCTGATCTTGAGAAGATTAAAAAATATTTAAATGAAGCATCACTGCCTAAAGTAAAAAGCGAATTCAAGGAAATACTGAATG